AAGCTAAACTGTGAAATGCAGGGAAAGGACAGAGACTTAGCTTATATGCAATTTCAATTGCATTCAAATTGAAACTGGCTCTGTAGTCCTCCTCATTGAAAAACAAAAGATTGCAGCACTCCCCTAAGTCTGGGGAAAATAGTAGAAAGCAATCAACGATGAAGAAAAGTGGTTCTGCCCAGAAATCTTCTCTGCATACCAAAGGACAGTAGCAGAGGAATTCAACAGGCAATTTCAGAAATTAAATATGATGGAACAAATTACCACGTTTATTTCAAATCCATTCCTTCGGTAGATATTGATGCGTTTGCTACCAAATTCTATCAGGTGTTTGATTTACAAAGCAGTTGAGTGATATGGAGGTAATTACTTTGTAAAATGATATTAGGCTGAAAGTCAGATCAAACGATAGCTATTTTTGAGGCCTCAAAAACAGAAAAATACCCAATCCTATCACGCTGCATTTTTAAAGTAAATGTGTATTTTGACTCTCATCTCTCTCCGTGAGACAGTGTTCTCCAAAATGAAGAGAATCAAGTCCACGTATCACGCCCACCTCACAGATATTGATTAGATAGACTGCATATGGCAAACAGACTTAAACTATAACCCAACTTCAAGACACTGGGCTGATAATGTGCACTCACAGGTGTCACACTGGGACTCGGTGTGTAGAGCACAAAATGAATAAATATATCATTTTGTTTTAGATTTATATAGCATTAAAGATAAACTGTTTATTTCTCATTTTGTTAGGGTTAGATCCTGTGTTGCATTTCAATTCAAAAAGTGATTTTGTGCTTAAAAAGGTTAAAGACTGCTGCAATAATACATCAGTCAAACAAGACGACAAAGCAAAGTTGCAATCCTCCCAGAGGGCTGCTCTCTTCTTAGAGAGAAATGACTGGTGGTGGTTTACCGTACCTCAGGTGGGGTGAAGGCTGAGAAGGTGGGACTTTCATGTGGGAATTGTATATGCTGTTGGCGTATACAAACCAGCTATCCAGCCAACTAAGCTATCCAACTTCCTAACAAGACGAATAACATCACAGTTGAAAGTCCAAACTAGAAAAGATAAATATTGCTACAAGACAATGCAAAAAATACCACTCATTAATATATTCTTACACGCCTAATTTGGAATAGATCGGCAAACCAGCATACTCACTGGTGACCGCTAGCATCCTATATCATGTTGCTGAGTGGACTTAGTATAGCATTTAACTCATGCAGCAAGATATTTCCTCCGAATTTCTGCTACCGATTTGCCATAATCCTTGGTGGGAGATTGACAGGAACACTGTTTATGTGCCTATTGAGACTTTCCACCAGTTGTCCACCAAAGTTACATTGGTCCCAAGGAAATTCCTGGCCCTGCTTTCAAATGAATCAAAGCGCTTCAAATCGCAACACGTCATTAGTCTGTAAAATGCTTTGGGACATCCTGAGGCCATGAATAGCATTATATGTAAACGTAAGGTTTGTATTTGGACTAGATGAGAAAAAGAGGTTGGTTAAACTCAGAGAAACCAATCTCTATAACTGTAAGGTGACATCTTTTGATTTCCAAACCCAGTTCTACTGTGAATGCCGATAGCGATTATCATTTTCGTGTAACTTTGTACTCAAAAGCTGCTTTATGTAGCAGATTAGGGCCCACCAAGAATCTGGTTAAAATTGCTCAGATTTCTTTCATGCAGGACTCATGCAGCTCGGAGATGGAGGGCACTTTCATCACATTAGTCTAGGCTGCATTTTACTCTTGGCTCCAAAAACAAAATGGTTGTGTCTTAAGTACTGCACCAAATGGTAAACTGACATGAGAGGAAGGTAATATTAAACTCAATGGAAGACAAGGCAATGGATTGCAGTTAATTTCACTACAACCTTTGAACTGGATCAATTATCACTCCAAGCCAATTCGACTCTGTTGTACTAGTTTTGCAATTGTCGAAGAAGCATTTGGGGGTTTTATTTATATTTGTGATAAAGCAGAAAACATGTTTGTTGGCGAACAAACAATGTTCCGTGAGAAAATGATCCAGTAAGCTCCTCCCAGGCAAGTGTCTAACTGTCTGTGAATGTTTTGGATATGTTTGATTGTGTCTTGTTTTTGCATTCATGTTGGCTGTTAATTGGTTAAAGCTTGGAAACAACATGAAACCCAGTTCTGTGTGAGGAGTTGTTGGATACAACAACTGTGAAGCCAGCTTCCAGAAGTCATTTTCTTGTATTTTTTATTGGCGCTGTCACAGCAATTACAAAATTAATAAGCTAGATGATTTGATTATTTATTTCTTAGACAAAATTTATTCCAAATAAACAAATATTGCCTTTTATTTCAAATTCAACTTTTGAACCAGGATCAAGGACCAAAAAGCAGTATTGAAAGAGCAAATTACTTGGAAGCACAGCACATTGGTTGTATTCATGAGAGAAATTACTGAAGGGAGTACTCAATGAGAGGTGCACTTCATGCCCAAGATATAGTCCGTGTTTAGTTTTCTTTTTAAATAGATTTTTTGGGAATTAGAATAAGCAAGAAAATTATTGGTTTAATTCCAGGGAGTATTTTTACTTGAAGAGAAAGAACACTGGGTTTTGGATGAATAAGTAAGCAACCAAATACTTGAAGTGTGGCACCCATCCAAAATAAACTTGTTTTCAAGTTCACACGATTTCCAGACTTTTTGTTTCTTTCATTTCAATTTCTACATCTTAGCCATGTCTGCACAGGTTTATGAAGAATTTTTTTTCAAATTGTCTCAAGTTTTCATTGAACTTAGTAACAGAACTAGGACAGACTTAATTTAAGGGATTGATAAATAAAAAGCGAGTATAGGGAACACTAACCTCTATTGCTATTTGCTTCATTATAAGCAGAAACATAAAAAAATCGGTATTGACAAATCAGTTGCAGACTGAAAAATGTTCAGCAGCTCACTAGTTTGTACCCTTTACACGTCCAGACATTGCCTTATTGACAGTTATTGTAATTCTTGGTTGATCCCCAAACGGTTTCCCTTGTTCCTGGATCGAAGGGCTACTTCCATGCAGGCTAACACTTTCTACCAATGAAAATTTCCCCTGATGTGAAAACCATCAAAGACATCAAAAACAATAAACTTCTTCTAGTACCAGTAAACTTGCAGGACATAGTAACTCCACGCACCTATGATATTTGGACAAATTATCAGATTGCAAAACTGTAAGCAGTGAAATGCAAAGTGAAAAAGGCATGGAAGGAAATGCACTCAAGGAAAATCAGTTTGATTTTGTGGTATAGTGACATGAGGAAACAACTGCGCACACTGAGTCCTCCAGAAGTCTTCTTTTCTTACGTAGCCTCAATCTCTAAGTACAGCCTCAATCGGGCATCTACCTGGAAATGTAAAAAATTGCCCAGCTATGTCCTATCGACATAAAGCAGTACAAATCCCACTGAGCATTGCTGTGGGTCAAAAACATGGGCAAAAATCCTTTCAACAAACCCACTGATTTAGGAATGGAGTGGGAAAGGTCATCAGTCAGTTCCAGCAAGAACTTCCAGTGTGTTAAATGCATGTGAAAGCACCGAAGCACATTGATTTCCCGTTTTACCACACTTGCCTAACACTTTCCAACATTCAGCAGAGGGAGCTTGAAGACTTTTTCTTTCTTTGCATCATTTACTTTCCTAATCGTAGTTTGAAACAGCTTTGAAGATGGTGCTTGTAATGTTCATGTCTATGAGGACTAGTAATCCAGAGGGCCAGGATCACACACTGAGAGGGAAGAGTTCAAATCCTACCACAGCAGCTAATGGAATTTGAATTCAATTATAATAATCTGGAATATGAAGTTAGTCTCAGCAGCAATGAAAATAGCATTGAAGCATTCTTGTGGTGCTGTGGTAATGTTCCTCCCTCTGAGCCAGGAGACTTCAGTTCAAATTCCACCTGTTCCAGAGGTGTGAGATAACATCTCTGACCACGTTGATTAGAAAGACTCTTAGGTCATTGTCAATGGTTGTAAAAGCCCATTGGATTCATGAATGTCTGGCCTACATATGGCTGCACACCCACAGTGCTGTAACTGTCTCTTAACAGCTCCTGAGGGGAATGGGGGCTGGGTAAAACGTGCTGGGCTTGCCAGTGATACCCGCTTTACATCCCATAATCAAATAAATGGAAAAGTGAGACACAAGCATGAGATTTGTAAAATAAAGGAAAAGAGAAACACGAACTAGAAGAAAGTGATGATAAAATTCCAAACACTAAAGCTAAGTGAAAGGATAACAGTACATTTCTGAGCTCAATCTACATTTTGCAGTGGGCGCCTGGCAATGTTGTAAAATGCTAGAAAAACCCAGCAGCGAACAAGAAGGTGGAGTTGCCACCTCCACAATTTAAGTGCCTTTTACAAGGTCCAGGATGATCAACATTGGACGCACAGCCCTTAAAGAATCCTTTAGCCTTCACTTACCTCTCCTGGTAAATTTGCTTCCCTCATCGAAAGCTCGATATATTGTTCACTTTTCCACAATAGTTCCTTACCTCCTCTCAGCTTCACCCCATCTCCAAATACCAACTTTACCCCTCAACTTGGCACTGATCGCCATGAACTGTTTCCAATGATCCCTGGCTGTGGATTTTAGCCACTGGTTTTCCCACCTGGAATCTAACCAATTTGACTGACTGCAGTGCATTAAATGAAGAAAACTATTATAATAAAGTCCTCTCATTAAATTCAGCAAGATTTTATGCAACCTGAACTTTTCCCAGGTGCTTTAGCCATTTGTAGTCAACCTTACACTGCTTCCCGCAGAACATTGGAGTTTATGCCTCTATTTACAAAGTCCAGGTGACCTTATACTTACTTACAGCAGTATCAAATTGATGGACACTTTCGACAATGTGTGTTTGTGTACCCCTGCTGTAGGATTTGGTTTACATTGCCTGTCCTCATTCTCCTTTACACAGTGCATCAAGAAATGCTTACCACAAATGGCATTAACAAAATTGAATTGAATTAGCTTTATTGTCACATGTACTCACGTGAGTACAATGAAAAGTTCACGAGTAGCCTTTTACAGTGTCATCTTAGGTACACAGTTGGCTAGATACAGGTTTGTGAGTACAAAAAGAAAGAAAAATAAAGAAATGGCATTACAGACCTTCAAAAGTACAATATCATCATAATAATTTAAATAACTGACTGCATTCCATTTGAAATTAAGAGTTTTTGATAGAAGGTCTCTTACAAAGAAAATGTTTACACCAGGGAAGATGCAGCATTTAAAATAATCAGAACCTCAAATGGAACAACCATGGGTTTGGATGAAGGTCTTGACCTGTTAATTATTGAAAGGACATTTCTTCCCTATTGAGTAATGGTAGTGATTTCTTGTGTAGAAATTTTAGAATCATCAGACTTACTGGCAAATGTTTTAATTCAGGATATCTGAATCTCCCATCGGATGAGACGAAAGTAGAAGGAAGACATACCGACATCTATTCCTCATGAAAAGGACAGACATGTTGTTTTTAAGTCTGGGAAAAAAGACATGGGGAAAATCTTTTAGGGGTCTAAACAATGTGGGCTTTGGTGAAATTTATAGCAGAATCACATCAGAGGTCCAGTGAGGCTGATCTCAGCGTCGGAGGTGTCTCGCTTCATTTTTAATGCATCTGCCAGGCAGCAAGGTAAGTTCCTCATTCGGCAGCAGCTAGCTGCTAAATAAGGGGGATTATAGTTTGTTAAACACCTTATTAAGGGCACGACTCATTTATATTCAGCCTCCTGTCTGACCAAACACAGAAACAAACTAGATGTTAAGAATTATTGAAATGAAAGTCAGAATAGGACTTGGCCCTTCAGCTCACTGCTGGATGCAAAGAGCCTCCATGTTGCTTAGCGCTACATAGCAGCATTTCAGGGTAACCATCCACAGGCACCAGCCACATGCAAGTCTCATCCACATAGACTGGGCTTGACGTTTGTCAACCCCTCATGATCCTCATGGCTTCCTGCCCAGAATGCATAGGATGGCTAGGCCAAACTGACTAAAGCTGCTACAAGGACCCTCTGTGAGGATGGACGGGCACTGAGTTCATCGACAATATCAAGCTGTATCTCAGGGCTGCTCATTTGCTGTCTCAGAACTCACTAACTTAGTGCCTACCTGCATTTGTGCAGTATCCATGCCTTGCCATGTTATGCCATGCCTTTTGCATGTTTAGCCAGACCCTAAAGGCTATCAGTGCTGTAATATTGACGTACTGTTCTGTGCAGATGCACAGACAGGCTGTTTGTGATGTTTGTTAGTCAGGATCTATCCAGGGGTTGAGGGCAGGGGGAAGACATTAACATCGAGTTCAATTCTGAGGAAGGATCACCGGACCCGAAATGTTAACTCTGATTTTTTTGTTCCTTACAGATGCTGCCAGACCTACTGAGCTTTTCCAGCAACTTCTTTTTTTGTTAACATCAAGCTGTATGGGACACCAAAATGTCAATCTAGCAACTACAGCTTGTGCCAGCTGCCTGCTGCACAGCAAACTCACTACACATTCATTGAACAAAATGACCATGTCAGAAAGTGAGTGGGAGTGGGCTAGGCCTCAGTCCAGTCAAGGGGGAGGTGATGCTATCGGTCAGGGGCTCCCAGAACCATAAGTCATGGGCAGAGTATGTACACAGTTGAAGTATTCAGCCATGGTCAGTTGCCCACTTGGGCCAGGCATGGTCAGATAATGTGCCCATTCGAGGAGTGGCCACTGGTCAGTCCTGTACGGCCAACTCTAACATTGAGGGGAATCACATCTCGCCATCCGGGAGCCACAAACACAGGAGTTAGGGATCTGGTCAGACATGCCTAGGGGGTTCTCATCAATGTCAGTCAGAGGTCTAGGTGAATGCAGTCCAGGAGGCGGTCTCTGCATTGATTGCTAAGGAGAGACATGTACCATCAACAGAGGCATCAGTGTCAAAAGGGGAGGAGGAGTCAAAGCTGGGGGTGGAAGCAGAGGCAAGCGTAGAGTTGAGGACAAAGATATTGAGAGTGTTGGGATAATGTATATGGTGGGGTTATATGAAATAGCATCAGAGAGCATGGTAAACTACAGGAGGGGACAGTTATTATCAGTGCTACCACCATGCTGTCCACAGGGAGATGTAGAGGAGCAGAATGAACACTATTATGGTGTAATGCAGAGGATTAGGGGCAGAGAGAGGAGTTGGAGGCAAAGTTTAAAGTGCTGGATTTCCACATGGGAGGGGCAAGGTGGAAATGGGCTGTAGGAGTAAAAGGGGACATTGCAGATTCTGTGGGTGTACCAGGTGATCAGGCAGAGCCTGGTGCTGGTTGTGAGCTGTGTTCCCTGTCATCACTTGTCATTTGCTGCATGTGGAATTTGAATAACAATGGCTGGGGGAATGCCCAGGATGGGTAGTGTCAGACATAACAAGGTGTAGAGCTGGATGAACACAGCAGGCCAAGCAGCATCAGAGGAGCAGGAAGGCTGACGTTTCAGGCCTAGACCCTTCTTCAGAGTCAGAGTCAGAGTCAGTTTGACAGACAAAAGTCTGCTGGATGCTAGGACATTGAAGGGGCAAATACATGAAGCATGGGTTTGCAAACTACAGCTACATTTCATTTGCAATCAGTGCATCACCTATTTGCAATACGTGTAGAGTTAACATGTTTAGATGTCAAATGCTGGTGATAGGAGATTAGCACTGTGCCATTGGTGCTAGCAAGTCTAACTTGGACATCTCAGTGATGCAAAAATTAACAGCAATAACTTACAAAGAAGCAACGCTAGCCAAAAGCATCTCATTACCTGTGCAACTTCCAAGGTTGCTGTGGGAACATCACTGTATCATTTGTTATGTAAGTATTATTTAATGAAATTTGAACAATTGAAGTAGGTCTGGGATGTGTCGGGGATTGGGCTCCTTTTTAGATGCAATATGTTGGTTACTGAGCTGGTGCCGTACCTTCACCAAGCTGGTGCATAAGTTCTGACCCAGGCTGTGGTGGAGCACATGATTCAGCTGCTGAAGATGCTGTGTTCCACACAATTGGAGCAGGCAGTGAGGCAACATGTCTGGTGCTGAAGAACTGGGAGAATGAGAGCAGTCTTCTGAGGGAGGGGGTGCAGAATGGGGTTCTCTCTGTTACAGGAAGGATACTATTAAACTGGAGAGGGTTCAGAAGAGATTTACCAGAATATTGCTGGGAATGGAGGGCTTGGGCCATAAAGAGAGGCTAGATAGGCTGGGACATTTTTCACTGAAACATAGGAGGTTGAGGGGTGACCTTATTGAGGTTTATAAAATACTGAGGGGTATTGATAAAGTGAAAGGCAGGTGTCTTTTCCCTAGTGTGGGTAATTTTAAGACAGGGGACATATTTTTAAGGTGAGAGGAAAAAGATTTCAAAAAAGACATGGGTGAATTTTTTTTTTACACAGAGAGTGGTTTGTGTGTGGAATAAACTTGCAGGGGAAGTGGTGGATGCAGGTATAGTTACAACATTTAAAAGAGAATTAGATAAGTACATGAAAAAGAAATGTTTGGAGGTATATGGGCCAAGCGTAGGCTGGTGGGAAATGTTTAGTTTGGGATTATGGTTGGCATGGACTGGTTGGACCAAAGGGTCTGCTTTCATACTTTATGGTTCTATGACTCTCTGACTTTGATGGCTAGTTGGTAAAATGACAGGTGATGCAAAGATACCAGAGGATGAAAATGGAACTAGGGACAAAAGTAAGATGAGTTTACAAAAAATGTAATTATCATTAACAATGTCATGACTGACAGTTGCACTCCAAAAAAAAGGGATCAGCGCTTATGATCTGAAAGTGGCTCAAAACAATTTTGAGTCTGGAAAGGTGTAATGCGTCTAGTTAAAAGATGAGATGCTGTTCTTAAAATGGCCCAACTGGGAATGACATTACCTCTACAGTCCTTGAGGGCATGCTTAAGGACTGATGCTGAGGAGACACATTGTGAGCATCAAATATAATTAATTAACTTGAGAGAAGTACAAGTAAATTGCTGTTTACCTGGGAGTATTTGGGCCATGGACAGTAGGAGGGAGAAGGTAATGGGTGTTGCATTTCCTGTGCTTGCACAGGAAGTCATCAGGACCAGGAGAATTATGGGAGATTGAGGAGTAGGCCAGATTGTTGCCATTGGAATGTTACCCTCCACAACACGATAAAAGGAGGGGATAGTGGTGGCACTAATGTGGAGGTGGTGGAAATAGTTGAGCGTAATCTCTTAAATAACGAGGATCGTGGGATGGAAGCTAAGGACAAGGGGAATCCTAATATCCTTCTGGGATGGAAGAGAAAAGGTGGGAGCAGGAATCTGGGAAATGAGCAGAAGTACAGAGAAGAAACCCTGTGATATTTTGCCATTTTCTTTTTGAGATTCCCTTCACCCCTTTCAGTTGTTGTATATTTACCAAGATTTCACTAACCTTTCAAAAGGCTGCTTAACATGTTCCAATCAAACACCGACACTGATGGTTTGGACTTTCATTTCTGATATTTTCACCAGTTTTAACTCATATCTGTTCCCCCAAATCCTTACGTTCTTCTCGATGAAAATTTATTTTGAACAATATGTCCTAGGAAGCAAAAAGCAGAATATTTTGTTTATTGTAAAATCAGCAACAGAGATGGTGCGTTGCCCCTGGCGAATAAGTAGGAAGTGCAAACGTCAGGAAGGATTCATAGTTTGGGAGGATGAGATGAGTGAGAGTCGTTGAGTGGACATGATGCACGTAATAATGAGAGCTGTAGTCCGTGAGCCTTAGTGAAAGGTGTGTGCAGTGGCAATAGTTAGAGTGAACGGTGACCCTGTGAATGTCAGGTAGCAGAGCGAAAATGCTGACTGTTACCCTTGTACTTCAAAAGCTCGTTGACCTTCTTCCTGCACCATTGGGCATCCTACTGGAACTTGGACAGAGCACCAATGCAGGCTGCAATTTGGCTTCATGTTGCCTGGTCTCCTTTGGTGCTCAGCAGGGAAGAAAAGGATGTTTCTCCTCCCCATCACCTCATTCTTCTGGACCTCCAGGTCCCTGCCCATGAAGGTTTCCTTTCCTCTGGGCCATGTGCTCAGTGACAATGATCAAGCAGCAAAGTGTGAGGGCCATAGCCTGGCTTGCAGCATCTAAAGTGGTGTGCAGCTGGGATTGAATTATGTTGTCCGACACCAACAATGCCAAAGGGTCCCGCAGTGAAAAGCTCTTCCAGCCACATGATTGCACAAGAGACATGCCACAAGAGTGCAGCTGGATAAATAATGAGGTGAAGAATGGAAGAGAATGTGAGAAAATGGCACGCCATGAATCTCACTTAACCAAACAAATTCACCAAAAATGGGTAAATTCCACCCTATATCTTTGCTTTGTACATCTGTTGAAACCCATACTTAGGTGTGTTTCTTTCTACTAATGACAGCTGACGACATGGTCATGGTTTTGAGATGGTGCCTAAGAAATGGCTGTTAGTAAATGAATAGGGATCATGCAAATGAAGCAGCCCGGGATGATATAGTAATGGAACTTCCTCAGAGAGGGAGAGAGAGAGAGAGATGCCACTCTCATGTCCGGTGGGATGACAGGGATTTCCAGTTGAATCGTGTGCACATGCCTGTCTCTCTTGCATGAATTGCAATGGCTGTGGCCACTTATTCCCTCATCTTCATGTCCACATTGTTGAAGTGTGTTCCTCTCGACCTCATCCTTTGGAGAGGGGAGGGAGTGAGATCAATATTTTCATCTGTCCCAGTTTAACGCTTTGCTGCTGTGTCAGTTTGTGCAGAGTACAGCACGCTGCCTGGGTACAGGGGATCCTTACGCGTCATATTTGAGGGTTCCCCAAGCATGATTGAAACAATTGAACTCTACTTTTAGAAAGTAAGTTGTCTGTGTCATAGTAACCCTTGTAGTCTAATGACAGTGATTGTATGATTCTGTTGCAGTTTTACGATGTTTCTACACTGGCTTTTAAATAGTTAACCCTTCTCACCCAGGATCCACCCATGAAGATGCTCAGATTGAGTGAAGAAACAAGGCATTCGGGACTGTCTCAGGATATATGAGCCACGGCAACTTCTCAGGAACTCTGCATACTCCTGGAGGATTCTTTCACATATAGTTGAAACTTTGCAGATGGGAACACCTTTCTGTACACAAATGTTTTTCCCTGCATTGAGGGTAAATTGATGCCCAGCAATGTGTGCAGCCTTTGATCCCCTGGGCCTGAATGAAATATTGCAACGGCACCAAATCCAGAATCCCTCTTAGCCTAACTTGGCTGATCATTATGAAACTTGATGCATTCTCCCAGCTGTTGATGCAAACAAGACATGCATTAGCTGCTTTATACAGCAACGGATTGCTGACTACAGTGAAGCGTTGAGTGCCATGGGCAATGTAACAGCCAAAAGCATTAGGTGCGGTGGGGGATGGGGGGGTGGGGGTGCATTCAGAACAGGACCGCCTACCCTGACAAGTGCAGTTTTTACAGATAGTGCTGCTCCGATTGTTCCAGAATAATAAGCTAATAATAAGCCAATAGCCACTTTGCATGGGGTACTGCATTCTTTGAACATTTAATGACCATACGGTACTGCACTCTCCATATCCTCGTTCTCTCAAAGCCTCATATCATTTATGTTCCTCCACTCTCTGCTTTCTACGTGATCGATGAACTGTCTCTCCCCTTCTCTCACTCTCATTGAAGGGGATAGACTCTGAATACAAAGCTCCCGTCTCCTTTTGGAGCCTTTATCATTCAATGGCTCTCACTCTACCACCACCTAGAATACATCGATTCTCTGCTACAGATAGCATTGAATATCTTGGTCACTAACTCATGAGAGGGAGCTGTTTAGAATGTTTCAATGTTAACAATAAATTTCTATCAATTTAACAACTGGAGAGTTCATGATGAAACAAAGGCCTTTGACCAGTTCCCTGTTCAGGTGAAGACAGATGAAAAGCTACCTAGACATTGCTGTAATACAGAATACTTCTGAGAAGCATTTTGCAAGGACTTTTGCTGCCAAGAAGAAATCAAAAGATAATACATGTAATTTTTTCAGGCAGCTCTGTCTCATGATGTTGAAATAAATTTCCTGCGGTTGGGTCCAAATGCTCGGTGGAAATACTCATCTTTCAAATCTATGGCTCTCAGCCAATCTTCCAGTCACACTGCTTGCACTATAGCTGGAAGAGTGATTTCTTTTAACTATTAAATACTCAGAAGTGTATTTGCTACAATATGAAGTCAATGCATACTCTAAAGTGCAATAATTCCACTTTTGTAGTTAACTGTGGACTATTAGAATCTCATTTGAGGTAAGAAATGCTAAGTAGCTACATAATAATGCCAAAACACAAAACGTTAAAATCCAGCAGACTTGTCATGTTATAAAAAGCAACAAGTGGATTCAATAGGGTGGATTTTATGACAGAGGACATACTTTCTGCTCCCCCCAAAAATCAAAAACTCTAAAGGTCCAAGGGGTTAGCCAGAAATCTGGCTGTCCCGCAGCAATATTGTGGAGGGGCTACCTTAACAGACTCAGAATTGGACTTCAAACCCAGCTCTGTAGCCTCAGCAGTACAACTGAGTAGTGGCCACTGCAGAGACTATATGCAATCCATAGAGAATAGACTTTGCCTGGACTCCAGGACATCTGGATGTTCCAACTTAATAATCAAGGAGCAAAGAACGTACATTAACTATGACAAGGGAAAATGTATTCGGGAGCCTGATTTGGCTAATGGCTAAAATGCCGTGGAAGTCATGGTTTACATCCTATTGGCAAGTAACCCACAGCAATGTTGGATGCACTGATAAGAATCTTCAAGAATCCTTAGACTTTTGTAAAATCCCAGAGGATTAGTAAACTGCAAAAAGGAGTATCATTGTTTAAAATGGGAAAGAGACAAGAAAAACAGCATTGCAACGGTAGACCAATTAGGTTAACATCAGTTATTAGTAACATGTTAGATTCTATTATAAAGGATGTAACAGCAGAACATTTAGAAATACAGAGTCAGTATGGCTTCATTAATGGGAAATCATGCTGACATGAGTGGACAGCCGCAGGAATCTATGCTGGAATCATAATCATTTACATTATATCATAACAACTTGATGAGGGAAGTGAATGCATCATCAATAAATTTGTGGATGACACAAATATACGTCCAAAATTGGCTTAATGGCAGGAAGCAGAGGGTGATGGTTAAAGGGTGCTTTTTGTGACTGGAAGCCTATGTCCACTGCTATACCACAGGGTTCAGTGCTGGGTCCCTTGCTGTTTGCTGTATACATTAATGATTTGGATATGAATGTAGGAGGTTTGATCAGTAAGTTCACAGATGGCCTGAAAATTGGTGGCATGGTAAACAGTACACTAAAGGGCAATATAGATAAGCTGATCAGATGGGCTGAATAGTGACAAATGACTTTAAATGCTGAAAAATGTGAGATGATGCACTTTGGAAGGAGTAACAAGACAGCAGGACAGATTGATGAAGTGGTTGAGAGGACTTATGGATACTTGCTGTTATTATTCAATGCATTGAATACAAGAGCAAAAAGGTTATGATGAAGCTGTATATAATGTCAGGCCACAGCTGGAGCATTGTGTGCAGTTCTGGTCACTAATGCTACAGGGAGGGTATGATTGCCCTAGGGAGGGTGTAGAGGAGAAACACCAGGATGTTGCCCGGGCTGGAGCCATTCAGCTATCAAGGGAGACGAGACACGTAAATCAGGTTGATTTCTTTAGAGCAGAGAAAGCTGGAGGGGGCATCTGATTGAATTGTACAAAACAATGAAGAACATAGACAGCGCAGATAGAGCGAAACTTTTAGTAGAAGGGTCAATAACTAGGGGGCACAGTCTTAAGTTAAGGAGAAGTGAGTTTAGAAGTGATTTGAGGAAAAAGACTTTCATGTGAGGGTGGTGGGTATCTGGAACTCACAGCCTAAAAGGGTGATAGAAGTGGGGATACTCATGATATTAAGAACTATTTAGACGAACACTTGAAATGCTATAACACACAAGACTAAAACCAAGTTCTGAGAAATGGGTTTACAGCAATGGATGCTTGATGAACAATATAAATCTGATGGGCCAAAGGGCTTCTTTCCATTCTGTAAAAATTTTGTGACTTCAAATGGAAAGGTAAGTGGTGAGGATGACACGAAGAGTCCCAGAAAGATACAGACAGGTTAAGTGAGTGGATAAAAAAATACACAGATGGAATGTATCGTGGAAAAATGTGATGTTATGTATCTTGGCCAAAAGAATAGTGGAGGCTTCATAGTATAAGACAGTGGAGCTGAATATTGGTTAAATAGAGAATGATTGCAGAGAACAAAAAAAAACACAAACAGTTAGCATACAAGTTCACCAGGCAACTGGGGAGGCAAATGCAATATAGGACTTTATGTCAAAGGCACTAGAGCATAAAAATATGGATGTCTTGCTAAATCTAGTCAAACTGCAGTTTGAATACTGTGAACAATTTTCATTCTCTTATCGGGCAAAGATATACTGG